AGGAGCTCGATTAGCTGTTCGTTTTAATTATTGATTTCTATCCTCTCTCGCCTGCATTTGACTTTAAGCAACTCGAGGGCAGGGAGTCATCCAGCCCCAGGGCCCCGCCTGGCCTTACCAGGTGACTCGTGAATGTTCGCCCCACTGAGCTGACCAGTGGCTTGCAGTCTCTCCTCGGGGAAGGGCTCCAGGAGGACCGACAATTTCAGGTGATGAGTGACCAGGAGGGGCCATATGGAGTAGAGAGCAGGGCCGGGCGTCCAGAGCACCGCAGTTGAGAACACGAGCTGCTTCTGTGGACGGAACTGAGTTCCAAGTCTGCCTCTTACTAGCTGCTTAATCTCCCTGTGCCTCCGTTTCCTCAGGCTACAGAAACACAAATACCCCCATCTCTTAGAGTGGCTGTGAGAGATTTAAAAAGATAACGCAGGAGCACCTGGGTGGCTCGGTTGGTTGGACTTTCGGCTCAGGTTCGGTCCCCGAGTTCAAGCCCCGCTTTGGGCTCCACGCTGATGGTGGGGAGGGAGCCCGCTTGGGATTCTCGCTCTCTCCTCTCTCTCTGCCCTTCCCCTACTCACACTCTCTCTTAAATAAGTTAACTTAAAAAAAAATGACAATGAAACACTTAGCAAAGTGAGCGTCTTGGCACCTTGCAAACGCCCCTTAACCTGGACGTGAAAATACTATTCTTTAGGGCCTGAGAGAGAAGGCAGCCGGCCCTGCAGACCCCTGCCCACGCTCACACTCTCTGGGCTGCACTTCAGCCTCGTGGGGCTGCCGAGGAGGGGCCTAGGGCTGGAGACAAAGCTGCGCCCAGGACTGAAGGTGGCCCTGGACGGAAGGCTTCAGACAGGAGGGAGCAGCAGATGCAGGAAAGTGCCTGGTGCTTGCAGGACAGGAGCAGGCCAGCCGGTAGGAGCCTTGTGAGTGCAAATGGGAAAGGAGGCCAGGGGAGGTGGCTGCAGACACCGAACGTAATAATAAATAATAGCAGTAATAAAAGTAAATGTTCATTGAATACTTACCACGTGTCACACAATATTCTAAGTCTTTGTGAGACCAAACTGATTTAATGATCCCAACAACCCTAAGAGATACAGCTACTATTATTATCCTCAGTCATACCTGGACCTGAGGCGTCGCGATCAGGTGACTTGCCCCGATCACACAGCTGCTATGTGGCAGAGCTCTGACTCTTGGCTAGCCCCGCCATGGTACCTACTGCCCCTGGCCCACCGGTTTGCTGCCCAGGTGCCGGCACGAACAAACGGGGAAGCAGCTCCACATGCAGAATAGGAGCAGGGACTGTGGTCTGTGGGTTCCAATCCCAGCCCCACCTCTGCCCTAGTTGGGTGACCTTGTACACATTACTTCACCTCAGTTTCCTCATCTGTAAAATGGGAACAAGAGTCCTGCCTTCCAGGATTGTTACATAGATCAAATACTCCGGTACATGTAGAACACTTAGCGGGGGAGCCAACATAGGAGAACAGCTGAATAAGTGGGGATTACCTGCAGCCCTTGCACAGCCGGCCAACTTGTAGGGCACAGAAGGAGATGGCTTCTGGCTTGCAGTCAGAATGAGATTGTCTGGGAGCAAGGGGACTTTGACGAAAGGGACAGGAAGACGAGGTGCCCTTCTGTGCAGGGGCACTCGGGTCCTGGGCCCCCACCTGCTGAGAGGAAGCTGAGAATCATCGGCTGGAGCAGTGAGCTGTCACTGAGACAGGTTTATGAGGAAAGGTGGCTCTTTGGGACCTGGAAGGCTGCCTGCCAAATGTGCCCTTTGTTGGGCGATACTCATCCCTGCCAGCCGGGGAGTCACTCTCCTCCTCCAGGTTCATGCCAGCTCCTCTCCCTTGACCCTAACCCCCACCCAAACCAAGCTGAGAACAGCTGGAACGAGGCTGGGCTGGCATGCATGGTGTGTGGGCCCTTGGTGTTCCCAGTGATCTGATCCTGCCGCCTTCTGCCTGGCTCCTGCTGCAGCCACACCATAGCCTCTCAGTTCCTTCCAGGGCCCGACACACTTCCCACCCCAGGACCTTTGCACCTGTGGCTCTTCTGCCTGGAACATCTTTCTTCTCCTCAAATGTCACCTTCCTAATCAGGCTTTCCCTGACCACCCTGTTTAATATTGAAACCTGAAACCTACCCCCCACCCGCCATCCCTCACCCCATTACTTACTTAACCCTGCTTTATTTTCCTCTATAGCATTTATTAGCATCTGGTAAATGGCCTCTCTCTCTTATTTATTTACTGCCTGCTTCCCCACTACACATACTCAAGTATAAGCTCTATGGGGACAGGGATTTGTGTCTCTCTTGCCCACAATTCTATCCCTAGCACCAAGGACATTGCCTGCTACAGAGTAGGAACTCAGCGATAAATCTTCACAGCAGCCCCCAAGAGACATATACATGCATTCCTTATTTTATAGAGAAGCTTTGAAAGGGAGGCTCAGCAAGACTGGGAGCTTGCCTGAGACCATGGCTTGAAGGATGGGGATTGTTTGACTCCAGAGCCCCTGTTCTCTCCCTGCCTGTGAGTCATGTGATCACCTACTGATCACATCCTTCCCTTCCCCAACCAAGTCCCTGGCACAATGCTTTACCCTCAGTGGGGAGGGGTCTCCAGAAGCGTCAGGAAGGCAAGAAGGTATTTGTCTTTATTGGGTTCCCATAACAAAATACCATAGATGGGGATAAACAGTCTCTTAAACTGTTCAACTGTTCTGTTAAACTACAGAAATGTGTGTTCTCACTGTTCTGGAGGCTGGAGATCAAGGTGCCAGCACAGTCAGATTCTGGTAAGGACTCTCTTCCTGGCTTGCAGACGGCTGCCTTCCCCCTACGTCCGCATGTGGCAGAGCGAATGCAAGCCCCCTCTTCTTTCAAGGCCGCAGTCCTATTGCACTATGGCCCCACTCTTTGGGCCTCACTTAACCTTAATTACCTCCTGGAGATCTCATCTCCAGATACAGTCACATTGTGGGTTAGGGTTTCAACATATGTGTTTCAAGGAACACGGTTCAGTCCATCACAGTATTTCAGAAGCCATTGAAAGGAGGGGAGGAGGGCCCCAGGAGGCAACCCTGTGCTGGTCTGTCTCACACTTCCCTAGGGTGATGCATATTCAGAGCATGGGAAGGCATCACTCAGCCCTGTCCTGGGCCCTCTGGGAATTGGCAGAATGATGAGCAGAACCTCATTTCGTCCTCAAAATAACAGACGAGATAGGTGTTCTCATCCCCATTCCATAGGTAAATAAACTGAGACTCGGAGAGGTGAGCTTACCTGCCTAATGCCCCTCAGCCAAGAAATGGTAGGTCTGTCTGATGCCGAAGCCTATGCTCTTAACTACTTTGTGAAGTTCTTTGAAACAGGCAGGGGGCATCTCCCTTGGCCCATGGGTCACAGGGGGCGTGGCCCTGTCCCCCGGGAACCCAGCATCTCCTCAGGACAAGAAGAACACCTGGGTATATTGGTGCTGGGTGCCAAGTGCACCGACCGGTCAGCAAGTTCAGGAAGAGCTCAGACAGCACTGTAGGCTGGACTGGTCACCATGGAAGGGCTCAGCCAGATGAAAAGCGACAGGGAGGGCTTTCCAGGGACAACTGCAATGCAAAAAGTAGTGAGGTGGGGATGGTGAGTTTGGTATTGGCTTGGGACAGAGAAGCTGAAGGGCAGAAGTGGTGGGAAAGCTGAGAGGATGGGCAGGGGTCAGGTGCTGGCCGGCCCAGACTGTCCCCGCAGCTCTGCAGAGGGTGGTATTTACGTGTCCTTTCTCCCTGGGGGGCAGAGAGACCTGGGGGAAGAGCTGGCGTGAGCAGAAGTCCGCAGCTCCCTCCGGTATCCGGCTGGGCCGAGAGGGTCGGTGCAAATAAAGAACAAGGGTTGGCTTGAGGCTCGCACCAAAGGACAAAGCTGAGCTTCTCTTTCCTGGGGGAGGGGAGGTGGCAGCTGTCCCGGGGACCCTCCCCCAGCAGCTGTGGCCTCAGGAAAGATCCCGGGGCTGATGGACTTCCGGAGATAAACTGGCTTTCTGTTACCTCCGGCCATTTTTCTGGCCCCTGACAAGAGGGGGCCTCCAACCAGTAGTGTGCCGGTAAATGGCTGACAACTGGCTCTCTCGGGGGTGGTGGGGAGCCCTGTTTGTATCATTTGATGATTTTCCTGGTGTAACTGCTCCCACTGTGACTGATATCAAGCTACCGACGCGATGTTACTGAATGCGGGGCAGGGGAGAGAGTCACCCTGCCGGCTCCTGTCAGCCCTTCTGAGTGGCTCTGGCGCCCATCCCTTCCCCTGATCCTGCTGCGATAACAGCAGTGTTCCCGGGGGCCCTGGGAGCAAGGGACCAGTCGCCGTGCTTGTCCCTGAGCCTCAGGGTTTTGAGACCCAGCTGGATCTTTTCCTGGAATTGTACTTGGTGTTTCATTACGGTCAGCTCCGATCATCGGTCCTAGGAGAGCCTCCAGGCTGGGTCCAAGTGCTCTGCCCGTTGGCATCAGGCGGTCACCTCCACAACAGTCAGAAAGCACCAGGTCCCAGAAGTCCTAAGTTAGACGTGAGTCCCAGAAGGAGGCCATGAAGCACGCAGACAAAAGGGAGTGCTGGCGTCACATGGAGGCTGCAGGCCTGCCCTCGCCAGCCTGGTCCGCACGTTGGGTTCAATTGTCAGTTTCACGATTCCTTGTCAGAAGACCCATCCTGGAATTATGCACAATCTCTTAGTGAGGTGGGGATGGGGGCGGCTTCTAGGCTCTGTTCTCCTAGGGCAGAGAGGCTGAAGGGCAGATATGGTGGGAAAGCTTTCTTCTCTCCCTTCTCCCCCTTCTCCTGGGGTGGACCCTAAGGGACTGGAGGTGATGGCTCGGGGGATGAAGGTACCGGAGGGGAAGGACTACAGATGCCCTCCTGTGCCAAGGGTGGCGGTGCAGCGGGACAGAGGCAGTTTGGGCTTCCCAGTCCAGCTGCCCACCGGTGTGAGGGTCAGGATGCCGATGGCAGCGGGTGACTGGCCAGCAGGGGCCTCTGCGCACATGTGGAACACGAGCTGGTGAGGCTGAGCCTGAGCTGGTGAGCCCACGGGCTCTCCACGTGAGTGCTGGGCCCCCCGAGGCCTTGCTGTCCCAAGACACCTCACCCTTTTCCTCCTTATTGCCCCTTCTTCCCCACCACCCACTGTAGGTTTTTCATCATCAAAGAGAGCTTTCTTCTTTACTACTCTGAGAGCGAGAAAAAGAACTTTGAAACCAATAAATACTTCAATATACACCCTAAGGTGAGGCAGCCTCTCCCCAGGGCCACAGTGGGTAGGACCCCATGGGGACAATGAGGGAGGGTGTCCTGCAAGGGTGGAAGATAGTCTCTTTTCTTGCTGTGGTCTAGCAGAGAGTCTGGAGAATGAATCCTTCTTGGGGCACAGGACTCCTGCCCCCTACGACTCTTGCTGGGCCCCGAGCCTGCCCCAGTCCTTCCTCTTCCTTCTAGGAGTCAGTTCTGGTCTGGCTCCCAGCCTGGGGCCCTTGGCAGGACCTGGCTTTGGCTGAGGGCTCCCAGAGCCCTTAAGTGATGTGGGAGGGGGGGGTGGTGGGGGCTGCCTGTTCTCGTTCTTTCTCAGGGAGTCATCCCCCTGGGAGGCTGCCTGGTGGAGGCCAAGGAAGAGCCCAGCATGCCCTATGCCATGAAAATCTCCCACCAGGACTTCCATGTGAGTAAAGCTCTCCTCTCAGCCTGGACTGAGCAGGGCAGACCGGCTTCCCTGGGAACCTCCAGGCTCCCTGGGGGCAACCGCTCCGGTGGCCTGGCCTGGGAGGGTGTCAGGGTCATAGAGATGTGGGACGGTGGATGGAGGAGCAGAATGGAGGAGATGGAGGAGCAGGCTGTGGGCAGCCTCTGGCATCCCAAGAGTGGGCTCCTCTCAGGTATGCCCGTGGTTCCTCTTCTTGGCAGGGGAACATCTTGCTGGCTGCTGAGTCCGAGTTTGAGCAGACCCAGTGGCTGGAGATGCTACAGGAGTCCGGGAAGGTGTAAGTACTCATAGGCGGGGGGGGCACTTCCAGGAAGTGAATGGTTATGGGCTGGGCCCACCCTGATCACCTAGTGGGAACTGAGGACCCCAGAAAAGGGCAGGGTGAGGGAGAAAACTGTCTGGGTGGTCTTGGAAACAGGGCTGTGGGAGTTGGTTAGAGTGGGCAAGAAAGAACAGGCCAGGATGAGAGGTCTGCCAGGTGGGCTTGGAGCCCAGTGACCTTTGCTTGTCTGGAGTCACAGGTGGCAGACGTAGACCACTTGTCTCCGACTCTTGGGAGCAAATCCAGCACCGCTAGGAGGGTTTGGCTGCCTCCTGACACCCATCTCACCTCCCCAGGTCCACAGTGAATCCTAGCATAGATTGGAGCGGGTGCTTTGTAAATCAGAGTCCAGATCATAGAAACCTCCAGCCCAACACGGTCCATTTACATGTGAACCCCTGTCCCGGCACCTGCTGGATCATGCTTTTAGCTCAACAAATAACACTGCGCATGCCCCATACGAGGCCTGGTGCCAGGTAGTGGCCTGTGGTGGTAGAGAAAGCAGCCTGGGAAGCAATCTCTTCCCTGCTCCAAAGCTGCTGGCCCAGTCCTCGGTGGCCCACTTTTCGGCCTGGGCTGGCTTCCCGGGACTGTAAGTGATCGATGCTGGTGGCATGGCCAGAGCCACGGGAGCCAGAGTGAACGGGGCTGCGATTCTGGAGGAGACAGGATGGGCGAGTACACGCCATGCACGGTCTCCCTCTCCTCTCCCCTTCTGTTGTAACGATTTTGTGTTTCTTCTCTCCTCTGTCCCATCTGCCCTCCCTCCCCAGGACTTGGAAGAATGCCCAGCTGGGAGAAGCCATGATCAAAAGCCTGGAGGCCCAGGGGCTGCAGTTGGCCAAGGAGAAGCAGGAGTATTTAGGTTGGCTGGAGGGATGGACTGGAAGCTGAGGCTCCCTAGGTAGCACTTCAGGGCCGGGGTTATAGCCGGGGCTCGGTGGAGGACGGAGGAGGGGAGCTGGGGCAGGGCTTAGCAGGCTACCAGGAGCCGTAGGTAGAGGCTTGTATGGTGTAACCTGTGTCCTCTTGGCCAGCGTGGCAGGAGGACCTCTGGGCCAGCTTTGTCACTTGTCTATCAGCTGCGTGTCTCCAGACAGGGTAGCCTCTGTAAGCCTTAATTTCCTCATCCTGAAAAGGGTCACGAGAATAGTCCCTAGGTTTGGGAGGTGGGGCCTGGGGATCAGGGGAAATGAGAATGTGCCAGTAAGCATTTGTTTCAGGCACACAGTAAGGGCCCCATGAATGGAGTTGATGTTATCCTGCCCTGGGTTCCCAGGTCCTGAATTTGCCCCAAACTTCCACCCCCTTGGCCCACTTTCAACCTGACCCTGTGCCCCTGACTGGCTGACAAGTATGCTTTGTTTGGGAAAGAAGAAGGTGAGACTGGGGCTTTGATCCTTTGCCTGGGATCTTCTCCCCTGCTACCTCCTTAGACACCCAGGGCCTCGGTGCTGGGTCCCCTCTGCCTGCTTCAGAACCCCCCTATAGCCCCAGAACCTGCGCCCCCCCACCTGCCAGACACTAGTGCAGGGGAGCAGCACAATTAACAACACTTCTAGGGGTGCAGACACCCCCCCGAGCTTCTGAAGATGAAGCCGCCCCTGTGCGGGGATGGGGACCAGAGAGGAAGGTAGTGGCTGCGGCCAGCATGTCAGCTTCTATCCCCAGGAGCTGGCTCTGCCCGCTGGCTGGCCTGGACATGACAAACCGTTTCCCTGGGAGATCCTGGAAGTGAAGGAGGTTACTGGAAGGCCCTGGCCCCCTCCAGGCCGGAGCCGGACTGAGCTTTCCGTGAGAGCGTGCGCACTTGCTTTGCAGACAAACTGATGGAGGAGACCGAAGAGCTCTGCCTTCAGAGGGAGCAGAGAGAGGTAGGCACACGGAGGCCGAGGCCGCTCCGAATTGCTGCCCCTCCCCCGCGGCCCCTGCTCCGGGGGCCCCTTAACAGCCAAGGTGTACTGGCTTGTGTTCCTGGCATTAGGGACGCATGTAGGGGAGCAAGGCACCCAGAGAACTCTCCAGGAAGTCAGACGGGCAGAGCAGGGGCACCGTGAGGTGACCGTGCTTGGGACTTGCTGTGGCTTCTTGTCAGAGAGCATTTGTTCTTGCCAGTCGCCAGAGACAAAAGTAAAAAGGGTAGGTGACCACGTTCTCAAGAAAGCCATCCCAAAATTGTATAAGCTGTATCGGTAGGTAGTGAGCTGCCGATCATCAGTGATCTTCACAGGAGGCTGGGATGGCCTCCGCAGAGGGACTTCTGCACCACGAGGGTGATTGGGTTGGATGAACTCAGGGGTTCCTTCTTCCTCTAAATTACACAACGTAAGTTCCAAAAAAGCCAAGCATTAGCCGGAGGCAGCCTGCACTGGGGAGCCGCTGAAGTCCACTTCATCTGGAATCTCCGAGCGGCATTGGGCCTTGCCTGTTTCTGAAGTGTCATCAGCACCCCTGAAAGGGCACAGTAAGGTAGGGGATAGCACGGCAGACTTGGAGCCAGGCCGCCTATGTTTGTATTTGACCTTCAACGCTTCTAGCTGTGTGACCTTGGACAAGTTACCTAACCTCTCCGGACATCAATAGTCTTTCTTTTTTTTTAAGTTTATTTATTTATTTATTTTGAGAGAGACAGAACAAGAGCAGGGGCAGGGCAGAGAAAGAGGGAGAAAGAGAATCCCAAGCAGGCTCCACGCTGTCGGCACAGAACCCAACGCAGGGCTTGAACTCATGAACTGTGAGATCGTGACCTGAGCCAAAACCAAGAGTTGGCTGCTTAACCGACTGAGCCACCCAAGCACCCCTGAACATCAATATTCTTACATGAAAAGTGGAGACAATGGAACCCGTCTTATTAAGATGTGAAGATTAAGTGAGATGTTATATATAAAGCACTTGGCACATAGTATGTGCTCAGTGAGTATCTGTGTTTGTTAGCATCATAATCATGTTATTACTCATTATGGGCCCATTCTGTGAGTCAACTACCCGAGGCCTGAAGCTGCAAAGTGCCTTTCCCATAGGAGAGCCTGATTCAGCCCACTTCTCTTCGCCCAGTCGGTTTTTTCTTGTGCCCGTAGGGCTGGGCCCATCTGCCTGGGCTCAGTGCCTCCCTCTGTGACTTTTCTCTTGCGAACCACCTTTCCCAACCACCCTTCACTGGGCTCTGAGACAGGCCCTACTGTCAAGAAGCATCCTGTCCCTGCAGCACCCCAAATATCCCCAGGGCCCAGGACTGCACCTGGCCCAGGATGAGTGCTTGATAAATGTTTGTGGAATGATTCACCGAGCGAACATTTTTGATTCTTGTCATTTCACATTACATCTTGATTTGAATCTAGTAGGACGATCCAGCCTCATTTTCCTTCTTCAGACTTTTACCAGATCTTCTTGCCCGTGTATTCTCCCAGCTGGACTTCAGACTCATTTCGTCATTTGACGCCAACAGGAAAAACCAAACCCAAACAAACAAGAAACACACCCCCAAAGCCATGGAGGCTTTGCGTTAGGATTCCATGGATTTGAGGCTTGGCGTGGTGACAGCACTGAGCCTTCTCCCAGCCGTGCCGTCTGGGCGTCCGTGCCTCCACGCTCTCATCTGGGTCCTGCATTAGAGTCTTGGCATTTTCTTCACACGGTTCTGCCATTTTGACAAGGGAGCCTTCTGGTGGCTTGTCAGCAACCTGAAGACAGGTAATTGAGGAAGCCAGGGGGTGGGATGGAGTGACAGACACTGCCACCGGCAGGGAGAGAGACAGACTTATCCATCAGAGAGGCTAAATCTGGGGCAGCAGTCAGCTGGAGGAAAATTTAGACACTCTATCTAGGTCTTTAGCCGGGAAATGAGGCCAGTGGAGACCCACCGCACGCAGGCCTCACTTAAAGCTGTAGCACGTTGAAGGAGCGAGGCCTGTCAGCTGTGAGCTCCCTGGTCTGGTGCTACAAGACCGGAGCGAGACTCACTCGGGCCCAGCTGATCCCCCGTGAAGGCTGCTGTGAGCAGGCGGAAAGGGAGAGGGCTGTGCCCAGGTCCGTATTCCCACATCAGCTGCGCGCTGCAGATCAGGAACAGAAATCACTGCTTCCCTGACTTGCTCATCCATATGATGGGTTTTCTTGTCCCCTGCATCTTTCCCATCTCCACTGCAAGGTTCAGAGGTTGTCTGGGTGCGCGTTGGGCCGCTTAGAAAGGCCTCGGGTACAACAGCCCAGTGATAACATGAAGATTCTCTGATCTTTAAGAGGCAGTCTGGCCTAAAGAAGGACTCAGGGTCTGGACCCCGGAGACTCATATTGGAGTCTCAGCTCCATCACTGACTGTGTGGCCTTGGGTAAGTTAACCTCTCTGAGCCTCAGTTGCTCTATCTGTGATGCTCTGATAAGAGTTGATGGCTGTGGCTGCCTAGTTCCTGGGTCGCTGTGAGGCTCAATGAAATCAAAGGCAGCAGAGTGCTTTGTGGACGGGCAGGGCCCATGCAGATGTGCGCTGTGCGGTGATGCGGCCCCGACCTCCTCCATGTGGAAGGGAGGACCTGAGACTCTGGAGGCACGAGCAGAGAGCACGGGGTGAGCCAGCCTGGGCTCATCTGCCCCGGGGCCAGAAGGCCATGCCCTTCCTTGAGCCCTTCGTCAAGTGTCCCTGGCTTCTTGTGACCTCATCTCTCATCCCTGGAGGAGGGCAGCCCGACTACCTTTCCTTCTCTCGCTGAACTCAGAGAGCTCAGCCTTGTATGTGGGTAGGCACCTAGGAAATCGAAATGCCCAGGGCCCATTAGGCAGGCATCTTGCCCCCCAGGTTGCTCCCAGTCAGAACATAGACTCTTGGTGTTGGGAAGAACCTGTCACTTCAAGGGGAGGCTCTTTGCTCACCTCCCTGATGGATGTTTTCTTGCTTCTGTGATGGGCAACTCACGACCTCTGGCGGGATTCTTCACCTTGTTGCTCTGTGGCTTGAAGACTCTTCCTTTCATTGAGCAGGAATCTGCCTTCTAGTGACCTTTTCCCAACCCCGTACTCCTGCAACTGAAGTCAGGCCCAGGAGTCAGAAGAACAAGCACTAGATGGTAGAAGAGGCTTTAGCTGCAGCGGGTCCTGGCTGACCTCAACCTATGACAAGGTTGCCGCAAGCTCTCGTACCGTCTTGGCCGCAGGAACAGAAGGTTCTGGCCGCTTCAGGTTTTCAGGTCCGGCTATCATCAGTCTTCTAAGGCTCCACCTGGACATCAGTGTTAGCTAAGAGTCACACAGGGAAATCGAAAGGTAGAAAAGAAGTGAGCGACTGGAAAGAAGGTTCTCTTTCTTTGTCCTCATCCATGTGTAGCTTTTTTATTATTGTTAATGGTAGAAATCATGCTCTTTGCAGAACACCTGGAAAACAAACTTTATTCTTAATCCCACAATTGACACAACTGCTGCCAACATTTTGGTGTTTTTCTTCAGGCTTTAGAGAAATATATATATATTTCTCTATATATATTCTTATATATATATATATTATTTTGTGTTTATTTTTGGAGAAAGGAGACGCACAGAGGAGGGCACATGGGGAGAGAGAGAGATGAGCAGACAGATCGACCAGAATCGAGCAGGCTCCGGCTCTGACTGTCAGCACAGAGAGCCCCATGCGGTGAACTTGAAACTCAAAACCAACAAGATCGCCTGAGCCAAAGTCGCCTGCTTAACCGACGCTTGAGAGGTGCCCCTGGTTATTTAAACAAAATAGGATCACAGCAGATATTCCATTTTATGGCCTGCTTTTTCATTATACCTTCATTAACATTTGTACCTTCAGCAATTTTTCATGTCATTCAACATTCTTTGAAAACGTCAGTTTTGATGACCACGTGCTGATACATCCTACGTGATGTTTCATTTAACTCACCTTCTGTTTTTGTACATCTAGGCTGTTTTATTTTCTTCTTATTATTATTATTTTAGTTTTATAAGTTTATTTCTTTATTTTGAGAGAGAGAAAGCACAAGTGGGGGAGGTACAGAGAGAGAGGGAGAGAGAGAGAATCCCAAGCAGACTCTGCATTGTCAGCATAGAGCCCGATGTGGGGCTCAAACCCACAAACCGTTATATCATGACCTCAGCTGAAGTCAGATACTTTACTGACTGAGCCAGCCAGGCGCCCCTAGGCTGTCTTCACTATTATAAATTATGCCACATTGAGCACCTCTGCACACATGAATCGTGGCCTACTATCTAATTGTTTAGGAGAGGTTCCTTCCTATGGGCAAAATCACGGAGTCTGGGCAAGAACTTTTAAGACTCCTGATGCATATTGACAAATTTCTTTCCAGAAATTTTGTACCAGTTTTCACTCTCAGCCACAGTGCGTGGACATTTCCATCTCGCTCTACCCCACTGCCCGTGTTTCAGTCCCTCCATCACCTACTAGCTACAGCGTGGGGAAGAGGGATGAAGACATGTGTAACTTCGAGCAAGTTCCTTGACCCTTATGTACCTCTGCTTTTCTCATCTATAAAATGAGGACAAAAATATTATCCACTTTCAGAGCTGTTGTAAGGATTACATGAATTAATACATGTAAAGTACTTAGAACGGGAAACTCACAGCGAGTGCTATCATTGTCATTATCATCATATACCAAATCTGTTTCAGAATTCTCTTTTCCATTCCTTTGAATTGCTGTCTATTCTTGAATAGATACTACACAGCTTCAATTTATAATACTATCCATCGTTTATTAAGCACTTACTATGCGGCAGACAGTTTGCGTGGATTAGCCCGGGTTACCCTCCCATGAACCCTACAAGGTGGTATTGCCCATCCCAGAGAGTACCCCCCCATACCCCTTCTTCTTCCTGCATTGGATCCAGAGGCCATCTAGACCACACCCCCAGTTTCATTTACTATGTATGTGCAAATGTCTCCCCCTTGACAGGTACAGTCCCTTCTCTCTGCTGAGCTCCAGCCCCTTCTATCCAACCGTTGGCTTCACATCTCCAGCCAATGTCTCAAAGGTACTGCAAACTTAACACGTCCAAGGCCACTTATGATCTTCCCCAGCAGAGCTGATGGTCTAACGCTCCCTATCTCAGGGAATTCACCTCCTCCCATTGTTTGTGCAGATTGGAAACCTGAGAGTTGTGCCTCATCCTGTCCTCCCCATCTCACCCTTTCCCACTCCACCCCCAAGTTCTGCTAGCTACCCCCAAATCTCTAGAAGCTGTCTGGCCACTTCTCTCCATCTCACCACCTTGCTCAAGTTCACACTACTATTAGGTCTTGCTGAACTAATGCAGTGGCTTCCCCCCACCTCCTGCCAGATTCCCTGTATCCCTCCTGGCCCCTTTTCATCCTTTTTCTCCTCACTGCAGCTGGAGTCATCGTTTAAAATGGAAATCGGATTGCGTTCCCCTACTTTCTGCTCAAAACCTTCATTGTTTGTTCTGACTCCGGAAAACCACAAAATCCTCAGCATAGCCCAAGGCGCTGTGTGGTCAAGCTTCCCTCCTGCTGTTCACCCTCACTGTGGGCCCAGCGGTGTGGGAATGTCTTGGTTCTTTCAGGTTCTGCAGGTTTCTGAAGGGCCTTTGCACATACTGATCCTTGTTCCTGGAATGCTGTTTCCTCTTCCTGCTATTTATGCACCTTCACATGTTGGCTCAAAAATCTGCTCCCCACCCCCCCACCCCCCCGCCAACCACCAATCATTCCCTACTTCTTGTCCAAGACAGCTTTACAAAGAACCATGTTCCCATCCTGCACTTCACATACCTTGGTTTGTAATGATACTCTCGTGTGTGATTATTTTATTAGTTTTTGATTCTTGCACTGAGCTGTAAGCTCCATGAGAACTGAGACGTGTCTGGGTTTGCTCATTCTCACATCCTCAATGCAGAGCCTGGCAGGTCCTTGGTGCCTATTAAACACTCAATAACTATGTGTGGCATGCGTGAATGAATGAAACTATTTTTTAAAAATCCCATTGGGGTTTTTATTGGGATCACATGAGCCTGTAAATTAATTGGGAAGAACCTCCACTGTATTTAGTCTTCCCAATCATTCAGGAGCTTGCATTCTTTTCAAAAGCATAATTGCTTTTATTGGGAACTTAGAAATAATGCAGTGAAGCATGATGAACAGGGATTATTTGGCTTGGAGGAGAGGAGACTTGGGGACAGAAAACTGTCCCCAACACACGAAGGGAAAAAGGATCAGTCTTGTTCTGTGGCTCCAAGGGCAGAAGGTCAGCCCACTGAAGTTATAAGGAGGCAGATTTGGGCCCAGATGGAACAGGTGGATGAAACGGGCTGCCCCCTCCCCTAGGTGGACCTGGGACACTCAGGGTGTCCAGAGGTTGGTTGTGTCCATGGCTTTGCCGGTCGTCTGTTTTGCTAAGAGATGTTCACTGGCTCTTACTTTGCTGGCTAGGGGTATTCAGTTTTTGTGGCTGAGGAGAAGAGCTTAAGGGGACACTATGACCAAGGACAGCAAGTTCCAGGCAGGAAGGCAGCTGCCGAAGGGAGAGTCTGTGCAAAGGACGGAGGTGGCTACAGGGGTTTTGAAGGGAAGTTTTGCTCCATAAATGAGATTCAGCCCTCTCATCTGAGCCCCACAAAACTTTCGGCAAAATCTGCGGTCCTTCATCCATGTTTTGGTCTTTGTAGCTTTCAGAGAGGGCTCATCTGAGGTCGGACCCGGAAGGAAGAGTTTTGCTCAGGTTGTTCTGGAATGAAATGGGCTGTCTTAAGAGAGGGTGAATTCCCCGTCATGACAGCCATTCAGGCAGAGCCCAGGCCATCTCTTGGCAGGAAAACTGATCCCAGGATTCAAGTGTCTGATGAAGACTGAAGTGCTTTCAGGCCCCTTTGACCATAGACGGCTCTGATTCATGGATGTCTGTTCTCTTACTGCCACACAGCATATGTGTTGCCCAGACACATGCAGTTATTGACTTAGGTGGGAAAAGCATTTCATCACACATACCTGGGCCCCACATGGGGAGGAAGGAGAGGAAAAGCCAATTGATTGTTTTGTCATGTTATTTTTAGGAGCGTCAGTTTCCTTATCTGGTTCTTGGAGGCATAGCAAGGGCCTGCTGGCACCTGAGGTGCTGGGAATAATATCCTCCCACAGTGTGTAATGTGGAGGAGCAAAGCAGGTGTCACAAAAATGCTGCCAGCTAAGCTTCGCCTGAAGGGTGCCCTGCAACCCCAGCTGCCATTGCAGCCCAGGAAAACGGGACCCTCGGAGGGCACATACCTGTGCTTACCAGCCCTCCTGACAAGACTAGTCTGGCCCTGGGGCCCCGCCCTGGGCTTTCTGGCTCTCCTGTTCCCTTAGGGCTGAGTATAAGGGAAGCTGCAGGCACCTAGGCTGGCTGCTTCCTAGAGCCTTGAGAATAAAGTTTTCTGATTATTTGGATCGGGACTGGCTTTTCTTTGACACCTTTGACAGATGTCACTCTAGGGATCTTTTTGTTTTTTAATTTTTTTTAACGTTTATTTTTGAGACAGAGAGAGACAGAGCATGAACGGGGGAGGGTCAGAGAGAGAGGAAGACCCAGAATCTGAAACAGGCTCCAGGCTCCAAGCTGTCAGCACAGAGCCTGATGCGGGGCTCGAGCTCACGGACCGTGAGATCATGACCCGGGCCGAAGTCAGACGCTTGCTTAACCGACTGAGCCACCCAGGCGCCCCATAGGAATCTTTAATGGAAATACACACCCACCACGTTTTCCTCCAGGGCTTGAGAGCCAGCCAGCCTACCTGAGGGGGTTCGTGACTGGAGTTGCCCAGCAGAGTAGACACCTAGAATTATCATCACCTTCAGGCACAGGCCACGGTGTTGAGCATGCTCAGTGTGTTTGAGAAGGCCACGCCCATCGCAGACTGGGGATTTGTTGAGACTATGTGTCGACTAGTGGGACCAGGGCTCCTTAGGACTTAACTCCAAGTCTGTGCCAGCATATGGCCCAGACTGTACTGCATCACATAGGGGCCCCTGGACTAGAGGGACGCTTCCTGACCTCAGGGGCACTTTGCTGCCCATGACTCTTCTCTTCCCCTCTGGTTCTCTTCAGGAGCTTGAGCGCCTGAACCAGGTGCTGGAGGCCGAGAAGCAGCAGTTCGAGGAGGTGGTGCAGGAGCTGAAAATGGAGCAGGAGCAGATCAAAAGGTGGTGGGGGCGGGAGGAAGGTGCGCCTGGGGCAGGGCATTAGGACCCACATTTCCCATCGGGCCTGGAGAGGTCTCGCCCAGGAGAGTCTCTTTACTTGATGGCTTGGTTTGGGTCTATCTTCCCAGTGCTCCAGGCCTCAGGGCAGCCCAGAGGAGCTGTAGCCCCCACACGAACTGGAGGTGAGGCACCGGCAGGTGCCGACAGGCGTCCCCCCCAAGCAACAAGCCCCTCTTGCCTCTGTCAAGCCTTCCTTACCCAGAGGCAGAGGGGAACAAGCCGGCCTGGAGGTGCTGTTAGCCAAGACCCCCCAGCGTCGCCTGCACAGTCCCGTCACGTTCTGGCTAACGATGTCCCTCAGGATCTTTAGTCCTGTGTATGCTTTGCAAACCAGTTGCACATTATAATCATACACCAGGATTAGAATCTCTGGAAAGTAGGGCCCAGAGATCTATATTTTACAAAAGCTCTTCGGGTCATTCTGATTCAGCCGATCCAGGAATTTGGAGACCAGTGCTCTGGGTGCTGTTGATGGCGGTGGTTGTCCTCGTCGTCGGCATCCTCCTCCTCATCACTACTGATAATCAGTGTTAGCCCACAAAGGTTTTTCTTGCAGCAGCCTTATAAAAGGAAGTCAATTAGACAAGCGCTTTGGGGAGGGAGAAATACTGAGGATCTTACCAAGTAAATAGCCGAGCACCTGCTTATCTCCAGAATTGTGCCAGATACTGGAATAGAGGATAAGTCCCCTTATCTTACCATGCAGGATCTTACACTCTTGTTGGGAAAATCAGACTAACACCCAGGAAACATCCACACGATAATATATAGTCAGGTACTAGGGACCACAGTGCAGACTCCCTGTGTCCTAGGAATTAAGGTATACATGTGATCCTTGTGGGCATGAAGAGGGGTTCAATTGAGCGGGGCCTTGAAGGATGGGTAGGATTAGGAAATTGGGCAGGAGAAAAGGGAAAGGCATTTCAAGCAGGAGGAAGGGAAACCAGGGGTAAAGGCCTGAGGTGGCCCAGGCTGGTTAAGAAAGCAGCAAAGGGGTTGTCACCGCAGAGAAGGGCCTCAGCCATGACCCATGTGAGAGTGAGTAGGGATACTGGCAGGGTCTGTCCAGGGAAGAAAGGAGGTGGGGCCAGGCCCCCTCCCTTTGTTTCTCCACTGCTTCTCTCTGCCTGTGGGGTGGTCCTGGGTTTATCCCACCTGACAGATGCATGTGTCCCTGGAGCAAGTGATGTCAACCCCACTTGGCCGGGATCTCCTCCTTTCAGCCCCAGGTTCCTACAGCTGCTGTCAGGACCCCGCCATGCAGAGAGGGGCTGGCCTTCCAACGCCCCCTCTGAGCCATGTCGGGAGGTGAAGCAGAAGCATTTCTGTGTGCAGAGGGGATTGGGAGGGGTGGGCCCTGCCATACCCAGCCTTCTGTCCCTGCAGGGAGCTAGAACTGACCGCAAGATGCCTCAAGGGTGTGGAGCAAGAGAAGAAGGAGCTGAGGCACCTCACAGAGTCCTTGCAGCAGACGCTGGAGGTGAGGGGCCACTGGTGGGCTGGTGGGCCTGGAGGCAGGCTGCTTGGTTGGGCCACGTGATACTGTTTTTCCCCCAGAGGGTTCTCCGCAAGGGGAACGGGGCCCGATGGAGTGATGATCTAAAAGGTCTCTTCTCTGTGGACCAGAGAGCACGGGAGGCCTAAAGCAGGACCCATGGAAGCAAATTCAAGTTTGCCTTGCTGTGACTGTGCCCTTGGGAAATCCATCTTCTTCAGAGTTTATATCTTTATACCACATGGAGGGTTGATTAGGGTGGGCGGCGGGACCACCCACCTCTTCCTTCTTGTGGCTCATTCACTTAGCTGCTACTGGGTGAAATTGAGCATGAAGGGAAATTAACTGTATGTCACCTGCCTCTGATACCACAGCAACTGTGAGGGGGAGAGAGGCAGTGGCATGTGTCAAGGACAAAGTACAGACTGTTCCCAGCCCCTCTTCCCCGGCTCCTCCTGAGTTGCCCCTCTGCACCTTGCACAAAGACACCCTGACCCCTACTCCAAACCACTGAGCTCATCTGTCCCGATGAGGCCAACCCCTTTCAGACTCAACATTTTTGCCCATGCTATTCCTTCTTCTTTTTTTTTTTTAATTTTTTAAAAATATTTATTTATTTTTGAGAGACAGAGCATGAGCAGGGGAGGGGCAGAGAGAGAGGGAGACCCAGAATCCGAAGCAGGCTCCAAGCTGTCAGCACAGAGCCCGATGCAGGGCTCGAACCCACAAACCGCGAGTTCATGACCTGAGCCAAAGTTGGACACTTAACCGACTGAGCCACCCAGGCGCCCCGCCATGCTATTCCTTCTACATAGAATGTTCTTTCACCTCTTCTCTGCCTGGAGAACTCATCCATCCTACTAAGACTCAACTCCAACAGAACTGTAGCCAAGCTTCCCTGACTCTTCTAGGCAAGGTTTTGCTGTGAGCTCCAGGCTCCGGCAGCACTTTGCACGTCTTGTTATGGGACACTAGGTTGTGTCTTCTAAACGGTGAACTTCGCTAGACTGTGTCTTAAGGTGTCTCCCAGCCCAGCACCTAGCGGCAGCCTGGCACAGCGCTAGTGTTTACTCTGAATTCATGAATTGCCTTGAGGGCTGCAAGGGTTTCTATTCTCTCTCCACTGACTAGAGGCTTAGTCTGTGGTGCCTTTATTTGTTTCTCTTTTCAGTTCACATCATGAGAGATGGTTCTCATGGAGAGTTTCAACTCTAGAATTTCTGGGTAGTGCAAGACCCCAGCCTGATAAATGACGAGGACATCTAAATCTGTTCTAGGGCTGGCTCCTTTTGAGCGTTTTTCATATGAGCCCAACACATGCCCTCACTCAGCCCTCGGGGAAATAGACCCCAAAGCGCAGGCCCTTGGACGCCGGTTTTAGTAGGTGCCACTTCCATTGGAAGCTGCATTGAGCTCCTCCCTGAGTCCCTCTGTGGAGGAGTAACCTTGCCTCTTTGTGAGGAAGGAGATCTTGGTTTTGGCCTTTTACCTCCATGGAAGAAGGAAGATATTTGGGGTGTCTTTTTTTTTTTTTTTTTGGTGGATATTTTATTTTTATTTTTTTTATTTTAACTTGTTTTATTTTTTATTTTTTTAAATTTACATCCAAATTAGTTAGCATATGGTGCAACAATGATTTCAGGAGTAGATTCCTTAGTGTCCCTTACCCATTTAGCCCATCCTCCCTCCCACAACCCTTCCCGTAACCCTCAGTTTGTTCTCCATGTTTTGTAGTCTCTTCTGTGTGTTGTCCCTCCCTGTTTTTTCTATATTATTATTTGCTTTCCCTTCCTTATGTTCTCGTTTTGTTCTTAAATTCCTCATATGAGTGTAGTTATATGATTTTTAATTTTCTCTGACAAATTTCACTTAGCCTAATACCCTCCAGTTCCATCTATGTAGTTGCAAATGGCAAGATTTCATTCTTTTTGATTGCTGATAATACTCCATTGTATAGATATACCACATCTTCTTTACCCATTCATCCATCCATGGACATTTGGGCTCTTTCCATACTTTGGCTATTGTTGATAGTGCTGCTATAAACATGGGGGTGCATGTGTCCCTTCGAAACAGCACCCTTGTACATCCCTTTGGATAAATGCCTTAGTGAAATACAATTCCTGGGTCATAGGATAGTTCTATTTTTAGTTTTTTGAGGACCCTCCATACTGTTTTCCAGAGTTGTTGCACCTGCTTGCATTCCACGGGTGTCTCTCTCTCTCTTTTTTTTTTTTGTTTATTTTGAGACAGTAAGAAGACAGACAGTGGGGGAGGGGCAGAGAGAGGAAGTCACAGGAATCTGGGTTTGAGGCTCCAGGCTCGAGGCTGTCAGCACAAAGAGCCACGTTGAGGTTCCGAACTCTGACTGGACGGAGCGAGATCATGACCTGAGCTGAAGCTGGATGCTCAACTGACTAAGCCACCCAGGTGCCCCTTCCCCCAACCCCCAATGGTGTCTCTTATAGAAGATTGAGTGATGAGGACATCCCTCCCTGAAACTGAAAGGCAGGTGAGGGCAGCCATGTTGGAAAACCTAAACTAGGTTATTTCCCTTCTTCCCTCCCCCCATCCATACCAGGAACTCTCCATAGAGAAGAAGAAAACCCTGGCTATGCTGGAGGAGAATGAGAACCAGCTGCAGACACTGGCCAATCAGAGTGAGCAGCCCCCTCCCAATGGGGGTCTCCATAGCAACCTGAGGCAGATAGAAGAAAAGATGCAGCAGCTTTTGGAGGAGAAGCTCCTGGCTGAGAAGCGGTAAGGGGGCCTTCAACCCCTGAGTCCCGTTTTGATAACATCCCTTGAACTGCACATCCAGACTCTTGGGTTCTAGCTGGCTTTGACCAGATAGGTCACTTACTTCCTTTTGCCTAGGACTCAGTTTCCCCACCAGGCAAATGGGAAGAAAACTTTCACTACCTAGAGCCGACCTGATCATGGTCTCTTGGACTGGTATGAACCATACAGACAGACATTAGTTCGGTCTAACAATGCTTTGTGGCAGGCGGGGCAGGTCCTCCAAGCCCCTTTGCACAAATGAGGAAACTGAGCCTCCGAGGATTTGTAGGACTTTCTTGAGGTCACAGAACTAGCAAGACCTGGACCCAAGACTCCAGTCTTCAGGCAGGGGCTCTCCTCGCTTAACCACACCACCCCTCGCATCCCCAGAAAGTTCTGGGTCTCGGGGTTTCTCCAACCGAGTCTCTAGGAGGGGCTGCTCTCCCACTGGAAAGGCCCGTTGGCGAGTGAGCACTGAGCACCACCTCTGCCCCGGGCAGGATGAAGGAGAACGAAGAGCGCTCTCGGGCCCTGGAGGAGGAGCGCGAGTTCTATTCGAGCCAGTCCCAGGCGCTGCAGAACTCGCTGCAGGAGCTGACGGCAGAGAAGCAGCAGGCAGAGCGGGAGCTCAAGGTTGGCCTGGGCCTGCTGGGAGCAGCCTGTGCGGGTGGACCTTCCCTCACATCCCTTACCGGGCAGCTACATGGATGATCTCTGCCAGCCTGACCCGCCAGGGGCAGGCGATGGAGCCACCATTTGGGGAAGCCGTGATCCTGCTGCTTGGGTGGGGGGCATCATTGGTACACACCTGCCAGGTGCAGGGACTGAGTCCAGGCCACCTGGTCAAGGGCGCAAGACACGGGGCAGGATGTGCTTAACTTCCATCCGAGTCCACAGGCCAGAAAGCCCGCTTGAGCCAGGGGTGATCAGGGAAGGCTTCCAGGGAGACGGCAGCTGCCCCCCAGAACCCCACTTCTCTCTCTCTTCTCTCCCCCCTCAGGCTGAGGTGAAGGTCCGCATGGACCTGGAGAGGCGTCTGCGGGAGGCAGAGGGGGCCTTGCGGAGTCTGGAACAAGGGCTTAACTCCAAGGTGCGGAACAAGGAGAAGGAGGAGAGGATGCGGGCTGACGTGAGCCATCTGAAAAGTAAGCCCCGGTTCCTGCGCCAGCCCCCTGTTCTAGGGGCCTCATCCCCGGGAGTGCAGGCCCCGGGGAGCCCGGAACGGGGTCTGGTGTGCATTAGGTGACCCAAGCAGATAGGTTGAGCATTGCTCCAGACCCCGCCGCCGGTGGTATCGTCCCCGGCGCGGCTCCCTCTGGGCTGTAGCCTCCGGTGGGGGCGTGGCTCGAGGTCCCGCCCCTTTGGCTGGGGCTGTTGCGGGGCGTATTTCCACGGGGCGGGGCGGGGCCGCGCGGCGGGCGGGAAGGACGCAGCCCGACTGCGCGCACAGGGTTCTTCGAGGAGTGCATCCGGAACGCGGAGCTGGAGGCCAAGATGCCGGTCATCATGAAGAACTCCGTCTACATCCACAAGGCGGCCACTCGCCGCATCAAGAGCTGCCGCTTCCACCGGCGCCGGTCCAGCACGTCCTGGAATGACAGTGAGTGTGGCCGTCCGCGTGCCCTCCCGGGGTGGGGGTGGTCAGAGGCCGAGGGTGACAAGGCAGGAAGGTGGGCACTGGGAAGGGCTGGTCCAGCTCAGAGGCCGGCAGTGCGGCCTGGAACTGGCTGCAGCAGCCCGCCGGACGGGGGCCTGGGGCGCGAGGGAGGCGGGCTGGGGTTGGGGCCTGGGCCCAGCCTCACGGCCACCGTCTCCCCAGTGAAGCCGTCCCAGTCTTTCATGACCTCCCAGCTGGATGCCAACAACATGGAGGAACTAAAGGAGGTGGCCAAGAGGCTCAGCCGGGACCAGCGCTTCCGAGAATCCATCTATCACATCATGGCAAACCAGCCAGGAGCGCCCTCAGTGGTTCCCCGGGGTGGAAAGTGATGGGCGCTCCCCCCCTGCCTCCCAGGTCTTTTCTCAGTGGGTAGGGGTGGGAGGAGGTGGCAGGGGGAGGTCGGACTCTACCTGGCACCTCTCTGCTCCCCTCTGCGCCCCCACCTGGGGGCCGGCCTCACCTTCATAGGACAGGGATGGCACCGCCCTCACCCCCACCCGGAAACCTACTCTTGGGTTTACATCAGGCCCAATCAGGCCCAAGTTGGGTGCTGCCTGCTTGTCACCTGGTGCTTATCTGGTGAGGCGAGGTGGGGCCTGGCCTGGCTGCACGTGGAGACATTTTGGTTGTGGACTGGGGTGGGCAGGGCCCATAGCTGTCACTTGTGCCCACTCCAACTCCCTGTGATGCTGCCTCCCTGTCTTTGTGTATAAAGGACCCCCCTCCCCACCTTGATACCTGCTTCCCCCTGAGTTTCCTAACCCTTTCTTTGCTTCTGAGACCCATAGACATCCCTCAGCCAAGGCCCCTTACTTTTACCACATCGCGGGGCAGGGAAGAGAGGGACCTAACACAGTGACCTTTGGGTTTGTGGCATACCGCATTTGCCATGGTGTCTCCTCTCCTGAGGTTGGGCCCTGGCTGACGGGCTACCCACTCACTCCCATATCCCTCCTGCATGTGTGCCTAGGGCCCTGGGCCCTGGCTGGGATCTGCAGCCAGCAGCCATTTTGAGGGCTCCCTCGGAGGACAAGGAGTAAGCTCAGGGCGTGGGACAGGGTGGCCCTGGCTCCTGCATTGTCCACTCCTGGTTGGATAGGAAGACAGATGCCTCGGGCTGTTGTGGCCCTTGGTCCGTGGGATCACACGTGTCTCCCTCTGAGCCGCCCCTGCTTTAGCCACCTTGCTGCCTCCTCTCCCTGCAGAGGCTTCATCCAGTGAAGCAATGTGACCCTGGAAGATGGGGGCCTGGCCCTGCAATAATGCCAGTAGCCATTGGTTGGCCCTGTGTCATCTAGGGTGAAGCTGAAACACACTGTAGGTTGTCTGTGGGGTGTGTCCCTCACCCACAGTCTGCTCTGCTCTTCTCCTCCTAGCCACATCCTCCAAAGCTGCCTAAATCCATTCGTCCCTCCAGAAAAGGAGGTCTGCCTGGGATCAGGGTGCTCATAGATGCTCGTGGTATTAAAGGCATTGATTCTCTGCTGCTTGGCAAACAGAGCGAGGTGCCCAGTCTGGAGCGGTGCACAGATGGCTGCAGAGCAAACCCCGGCAGAGGTGCTGGCCTCCCCCTCAAAATACATGCGTGTCTACTGGCCACCTAGCCCAGGCCGGCCCCGGGGTGCCCTGCTCTGTGCTTAAGGCTGCCTGGTGAAGCTAAGGGAGACCCAACTCAAGTCCTGGGTGGACTGTGATGGCTTCAGCCAGTCTGTGGAATCTGGGTGGAGACAGGGACAGAGGCACTTAGAAACAATGCATCTGAAAAAGATGAGTTTAAAAATTAAAAAAAAAAAAAAAAACTTTAAACACGTAGGAACCTGCATAAACTTGGAACTCATTTATCTGACATGTATATAGGGTGAACTTTGAAATGAGGAAGATGTATAAAGTCCAGATTACCATTTTATTTTTTGTTTGTAAAGGAATTAGTTTAATAATGGTTTGCTCTTGGAGAAAGACCTTTTGGAAATTTTCAAATGCATTTTCGCTCCCAGGCAGGCTATTAACCAGGAAGGCAAGTGCTGTTCCATGCACATTTACCAATCCCTAGTTTCTTTCCTACCATTTCACCCTGTACTTTCCATGCCTCAGGCAAGTCTGGGTTATTGTCAACAAACTGATCAGTCCATAAGTATTTATTTGTACCTAACACTGTAAATAGAAAAAGAGAAACATCTCTATATGAAAATATATCACAGTGGGAATTACTTATTGGAAATGTATTGATCTGATTTTTTTTTTTTTTTTTTAATAAAACTCTTACTCCTTGGCCAATTAAATGTGTTTCCTGCAGTAGGGCTTGTAGTCTGGTCATTGCTAGAGAGATGTTGCCCCCTGCAGGCCAAACGTGGAATTGTGCAATTCCCTGAGTGTAGTCTTAATAAGCAAGCACGTTTCCCCTACATAGAAGGAAATACTCCCCACTGCTGCACCTCCTGGAAGTGGCTTCTTAATAATTAACTGAAAAATCTGTCTTCCCACCCCGAGGTCCTGGCTGTTCCCATGTAACAAGGACTATCAGCTGGATTTGGTTCTGTTTTGAGCACTGACCAAAGGGAGTAGACCACATGGATGGGAATGACCTCAGGGAGACAAAGCACACCTAGTTTTATGACTTGCTGGTATCAGTATCCCCACTGGAAATTGACAGCATGCCTCCTCTGAAGAGGAGAGGTTTATGTTTTTGTTTTGTAATCATGTAAGAGAGAGCAAGAAATGGTAATGACAAGATTCTCCTCCTATTTGGTATATTTCCTCACTGGGGATGGTTGATCTGTCATCATGCCCAGGAGTGTCCTGGTTTGTATTGTTTCCCAGCATAATTATTAATGACTCCCCTTTCTGTTGTCCCTGATGTCCCAGTTTGTGTGCTAGTTCTGTGGTCATCCTGGTTGTAATGCTGTTCCCCAACAGTATGTTAATGGGCGGGGTAAGAGATCTGTGAAATACTCAGGTCCTGACCCACTACCCAGCTCCCAGCTCCCAGCTCCCAGTTCCTGAGAAGGATCTACTGCCTATATTTGTCTCTGGAGAGATGTAACTGCCTCCCTCATCCTATTCCACCCACCTCACCATGACCTGGGCAGCTTGTGGGTGATCCAGGTACCATCTGAGTAAAATTTGGAGCACACAGTAAATGATGATGGTGGAACTGACTTGCTCAAGTCTCAGAGAGCCAGCCTATGTCAGATTTGGTCTAACTGGAAGATAGTCATTAAACCCACCAGACAAAGGGGCTGCTCTGGAGCCCTCAGATAAAGGCCAGCAGCCCTGGGGGATCTTCTGCTTCTGTGGTGAGCCAGGATGGGGCTGCTCAGACCCCTGCTGCAAAGGGCTCCCCAAATTCAGAAACCTTATGGCTTTGATTCTTGGGGAAGCTACTGACTTATTTTACTTCCCTCACCCCTGGAGAGCAAGGAGCAGGGGGTGTTCTGGCTTTGCTTCTGGGTGAGACTCTGTGATCAGGCGGAGAAGGTGAGTTGAGACAGGTTGCTCAAAGGCAAGAGGCTCGAGGCGCCTGGGTGGCTCAATCAGTAAAGTATCTGACTTCGGCTAGGGTCATGATCGCAGGGTATGTGAGGAGGGCGTTGGGCTCTGTGCTGACAGCTCAGAGCCTGCTTCGGATTCTGGGTCTCCCTCTCTCTCTGCCCCTCCCCTGCTCGCACTCTGTCTTAATGTTAAATAAACATCAAAACTTATTTTATGTTAAATAAACATTAAAAAAAAATTAAAAGGCAGGAGGCTCCACCTCAGGTTCCAGGAGAATGCAGAGCCACACAGGGCCAGCTGATAGCGCATTTGGGGGCTCATTCTCTGCGCTCTGTCTTACTTCCCCGAAAGGAGGATCTAATCCTTGCCTCTAGGCTGAGGGTCCTGCTATGAACAGACTCAACCTGTCCTGTTATCCTGGCAAGAACTGTGGCTGATGGGCCTTGGAATGTCACTGACCACAGGAGAAACTTTCCTCTAGGGACTTGTCCCGCAGGCTGCTTGATGCAGGGGGTGGGGGTGGGGGTCTCCAATGGTGAAAGGTCAGGTCTCAGCTCTGTAGCTTTGAATAAGTCACTATTTAAAACTTTTTTAATATGTATATATTTTTATTAGGTAGAAGAGAAATCTCACGAGGCTGCTCAGAGCCCTTGCAGTTCTCAAGCTCTACGAACTGGGAACTTGCAGCCTCAGAATCAACAGAAATATGGCTGCTGCCGCCACCAGCACTGATCACAAAAACACAGTTCGCAGGAAGGAAGGATGTTCTGGCTCATGTTGCACTTGATGCGGTGCCATTGTCAGAAGCTTTTAGTGTTGAGATGAGAACAGGAAAGACAGCTAATTTATCATCCCAAAGAAAAGGCAATTGTGACTAATTAGTCACTGGGAAGGCCACCCTGGGAAAGGAAAGATGTCTATTCTCATGCTTATCCTGGTGTCTGAGACCATCTGTCAGCATCACTTCTTTCCATCTTCATTCAACAAATATTTGTTGTGGTTCCGTTGCGTGAAGTCAAGCACTTACCTGTGCGCTTATTATCTCTGTTACTTACTGTTATTTTTTTCATTGTGGTAAAATATACATAACATAAAAGTTACTATTTTCACCATTAAAAAAAAAAAGTTTATTTATTTTGAGAGAGAGACAGAGAAAGAGAGCATGCTGAAGGGGCAGAGAGAGAGGGAGAGAGAGAGAATCCCAGGCAGGCTCTGCACTGTCAGCAGGCTCTGTACTGACGGCAAGGAGCCTGATGCGGGGCTTGAACTCACGAACCAGGAGATCATGACCTGAGCTGAAATCAAGAGTCGGTCACTCAACCAACTGAGCCATCCAGGCGCCGCACCCCCCAACCATTTTGACCATCTTTAAGTGTAGAGTTCATAAGTGTTAAGTGTATTCGCTTAGCTGTGCAACCAATCTGCAGAACTTTTCATCTTGCAAAGCTGAAACTCTGTGCCTTAAACAACTCCCTGTTTCCTCCTCCCCCCCAGCCCCTGCGACCACCATTCTACTTTGTCTCTATGAATTTGACTACTTTAGATACCTCATAAAAGTGGAATCATACAGTATTTATCGTTTTGTGACCATCTTATCTCACTTAGCATAACTGTCCACCAGATTCATTCACAGTGTAACATATATCAGATGTCATTCCTTTTTAAGGCTGCATTATATCCTATCACTCAACTTTTAAAAAGAAAAAAATGGATTGAAATCTTACTTTTCTGAGAAACTGTTGGCCAACGATGAGGGCCCTGACTGTCGTAAAGGATAAGAGACTCGCAGCTGAGGGGAGGTTGAGTCCCTGTGCTTCCCTTTTTTATGTTTCCAGGTTGT